CACAGGATGGGGAGAGCCAGAGGTTCCCAGCACCGCAGGAGGAGACAGGATTCCTACCGGGTGGGCAAAATCCACGGGGACCCCGAAAGGCCAGTGAGAATTCCCTCCCTGGTTTTCTGCAGCCCACAGTGCTCAGGCAAGAGGGTTCTGGGCTCACAGGCAGAATTGAGAGAACAGTCAAAGACTTTGCTCCACAAGCCGCTCCCTGCACCACCCCTGGGATCCACACCCCCCTGCCTGCACTGGTGTTCACTTTTAAGTAGATACCAACGAGAGAGGTGGGAAACATCTTTATTTCTGCAAAAGGTGAGAAGAAACCGAGATAAACAGACCTGTTTCCAGTAAACTTTTAAAAAGCCCACTGGTAAATATAAGCACAAAGCCCACCCCTGCCTCACTGAAACAAAGCTGGGCAGGAATCCAAGGTTTATTCAGCCCTGTGGCTCTCTCCTATGCGAAGATGGGGCTGAAAGTGCCAACATGTGTCCAAGATCTGGACAGCGAGAGGCAAAGCTGGGGCGCAACTCAGGGCACTCTCAACCCAAGCTTGCTCCATCCTTGGCCAGGGCACAGCTCCTGGAGGGATCTCCTGTGGGAGCACGTCCCCTAGTGCCCTGAGCACTGCTGGGCAGTTGCTGCCACCTGGGAATGAGGGGACATAAGGCACATCCAGGCTGGCAGCAGGCAACCGTAGCATCTCCTGGCCACTGATGACCCAGCTGGAGCCCTGCTGGGTCCCGTGCGGAGCTATGTGGGCAGTGTTGGCCGGCACTCAAGATCCAGCACAAGGTGATGCACGTGTGGCGCGTAGGACTTCACCGCCTCGATGTGCAGGATGCTGGTGCGCCACGGCTCCCCGTGCAGCTCTGCCAGCAGCCCCCAGATCTGCGCCGCTGCAGCTTCAGCCCATCTCTGCCATTCAGGTCTGATCCTGGCTCCCAGCGTCTCCTTCCTGCTGTCATCTGCTGGAGGCTGCGCCTCTCCATCAGAACCAGCTCCCTCCGGAGATCCCCTCTCAGCCCGCGGGACTGGGGTCTGTGGTGGGGCCGGTGCGGGGAGAGTCTCCACGTTGTGGTGGATGTGGAGAACCCCGCCCGTACCCTTCTTCAGGACGCGGCAGGCCACCGGCCAGCCTTCCTCCGAGCTGGGAATCAGCCCCAGGTTCACCCGGTCCGCTACGTCCCGCAGCTCCAGCTGAAAGGAGAGGGGAGGTGAGGGCGATGCTGTGCAGGGAGTGGGGGTTCCGCAGCTGGGCGACACTGCTCACCTGCCGGCTGTCCCCGTGGTGGACCTGGCAGCGGTCCTGCACACCATTCAGCACCAGGTTCCTCCGCAGGGCCTCCACAGCGTGGCCGTTCCACTCACAGGCGTGAGCAAAGGCGGCCGCCGCGTGGACCAGGTAGGGCAGCGTGAAGTAGCCGATGCCTGGGGGCAGGAGGGGGCAGCAGCTGAGGGCAGGCTTCGGGCACTGCTGGGGCTCCACGCTCCTCCCCCGAGAAGGATGTGGATTGCCACCAGGGCTCTCTGAAGCCACTTTGCTCCAGGTTGGAGCAAGCCCAGATGCTGGGAAAATGGCAATTCACCCCTCCCTCCCCTGCAAAAGCAAAATCTGTCTCGAAAAATGTTTACAGAGGAGCTTATCTTACCTTCAGTCTTTGGCTATTAGCTCAAGACCCACCCCGCCCTGCTTCTATTCTGCGCAGAAGTGCCCAGGCTACAAGTTAATTAATCTGGAACAGTTTTGTGAGCGCCACATGCTTTCTGTGTGGCACAAACTGGAAGCACTGATTTCCACAAGCATAAAACAGTGTCTCTCTTGACATGCAAACACCTGATGTGATCTCCTGTCATCCCACAGCACAAGACACTTCAGTTAGTGCCAGCTTGTCATGAAAGCACATCAGTACAGGCTCAGGACATCTTTTTCAGAAACAATATTGTGGGAAAATCTTTGCCCTGGATTCAAATGCTTCCCATGACCAGCGCTAGGTACAGAGCAGTACGCTGCAAAGCCTGAGTACAAGGTCATCCAAAGTGTTCAGAGACAACAGGGACACAGGACGGACAGCAATGCCAGGTTAGCTGAAGGCTCATAGATGGGGCAGGAGCTTTAAACCAGGGTATTTTTCCAGTCCAGGCTAGAAATGACGTTTCACATCCACCTAGACGCCGTTGCTCCCTGCATGTCTGCCCTGCCAAACCCCTCTGTCACCCCTGTTACCTGCATAGAGATCCACCAGGACCTCCCCGGAGCAAGGCAGTGAGGCCACCCGCAGCTTCTCTGTGATGTTGCCCGGTGAGAACATGCACTTGGTCACATCGAACGTGTACCTGGGTGATATCACCGTCCCAGTGAGGCCAGACCCTTCCAAGCACCAGCCTCATCCTGCACCGCGGCCCCTGCCTACCTGATCCCGTTGTCCACGTGCTCCACCCAGCCGTCCTGGCCCAGCAGCAGGGTGACACTGGGGGATCGCGTCCCATCTGGCAATACCCGTCCTCCCCTGGCCAGCCGCCGGGCACC